GGGGGACACAGCGCACCACGCAGGCGTGGCGGGACACGTCGCCCGAGGGGCCCCGGAGCGGGCCGTCCGAAGGTCACCCCGAGTGGGAGCCGTCTGGGCGTCTTGCGAGGTGGTCCAGCACTGGTCCCGACCAACATCAACCGCCGGCAGGTTCGAGGCTCTGGGTTCGGCAAGGTTTTTTACCTTTGCGGGCTCTGGGGATCGTTTTCGGGCGCCCAGGACTGTGAGGAATGAATCCGGAGTGAAAAACTGCATTGGAAGAACCCCAGGAGGGGTCTGCGGACCGATTTTGAACGGATTAAGCCTTGCCCCCCGTCCTGGCAGATTTTCTGGCGCCACATCCAGTCCAGGCCCCCCGGCCACCTCCGAACCCCGCGACTCCGCAAAATGGTGGCCACCGCGCCCTGCGGGCACAGCCCCCGCCAGCCCAGCCCCGTGCCGCTGGCGAGGCCACGATCGCTCACCCCCGGGGCCCGCGGACCGCGAGGCGGCTGCTCGGCACAGGCAGAGCGGGCGCCGCAGCACCAGGGCACCCCCAGCCCGGATGCGCTGCTCCAGAACCTGAGCGGACGCAGGAGCGCAGCTTCGCGCCGCCGCTCACGGGCGACGACGCGCGCCGGACACTCCGGCGGCAGCGAGGGCCCAGTGAGCTGGGGGCAGACCGCAGCAGCCCCACCGACCTTTCGCGGCTGCCGCTCGCTGCCTCCTCCTCCTCCTCCTCTTCCTCCTCCTCCTCCTCCTCCTCCTCCTCCTCCTCCTCCTCCTCTTCCTCCTCCTCCTCCTCCTCCTCCTCTTCCTCCTCCTCCTCCTCCTCCTCTTTGGAGCAGCTCGTCGCCTTACTCGGCATGATGGACCGCGCCCAGATTCAGGAGGGAAGAAAACACACAGACACAACTAATCGCCGATTCTCCAGAAAATATGGGGAAATATGGGAAGTGGGGGGGAAGACAAAAACCCAGAAAAGATGGGAAAATATGGGGAATAGGTTTATTTGTGTGTATTTTTTTGGTGTGTCCTGGGGCCCCTTTCACAGATGCGGCCACGCCAGCTACTCCTGACCATAGGGGGTGCGCGGGCCAAGAAGCAGAACTGCGACCGCGCCATCGGAATCCTCTGACCTCAGACCGTCTGCCGCGGAGGCGCAGCCCGCGGGGGGGGCCAGAGGCGCAAGGCGCGTTGGGGCACCGCGACTCGCGGCAACTCCTCGGTGCGAGAAGCACACGCACGTGCCTTCCGAGGACATTGGGCGCTGGTATCCAGGCGCCGCAGGGGCGCAGCCTGTCACGTCCACGCTCTACGACTCCACCGGCTGGGCCCCCCCCGGGGCCTTGGCCCTAGACTTGCACCTCCCCGCCGAAGTCTTGGGACTAGAGATGCCACGCGGCGTCGACTCCCGCACCCTGTCCCAGAGCGGGGCTTCCACGAAGCCGCTCTAACCGACACGATCGGTAGCACAAGGGCTCAGCTCAGGCACCCAGCGCGCCAAATACTTGCCCTGCCGAGTTCTCGAGAAAATGAGCACAGCACGCGTGCGCCTGTATCACGCTGGCTCTGGACCGACGACCTCTCCCAGAGGGCACGAGGATCTCGCAGGCCGAGCGCAGAGGGCCACTACGGCGTCTGTTCGACGCCTACAACGGGCTCGCATGCTACGGCCTCTCGCCATCGCCGACGATGCTCGCCGCATCGCCAGGGAGGAATGCTGCGACGGGGCTACGGGCTGCAGCCTCACGCTCCAGCCGCTCACTCGGGGGCCGACGTCGGGGCAGGCGCGCGGCATGATCGAGCCAGTCGCACGCAGCGACGAGCCCAGCGCGGGCCGATGCGTCGGAAAGTCGCCCGCCTCGCACGGGCCATTCGACGACACCTCGTCACAGAGTGGCTCGCCCAGCAGGGCGGGCGCCAACTCCATGGCATGTTCGGCACCCAGCTCACCCTCGTCCGTCGTCACTTCGGAGAAGCTCTCGGACAGCGGCTGCTGGGCCGACGCATCGCGACACCCCCGAGCCTCAAGGCGACAGAGCGCGACCCAGCTCGACGACTCCCACGGGAAGCCATCCAGCAATGGCTCGGCCGGTGGACTCAGGCAGGGCCGACGCAGCGCACGATTCGTCTCACGCGGCCCAAGTTGCTCGAGCATCACAAGGGCCCACCACCACACCACCCAGCACGCCACGCACGCGGGCCACAACTGGCCAGCATCCTGCGCGTCCCCGAACAGGGCTAGGACCCGAAGAGGCCCAACGAGTAGGCGCCCCCACTGGCGCCGGCGGGGCCAGAAGACACATGGGAGTTCAACTCCGAGCAATTCACGGACAAGCCCGAACTCGATATTCCAGCGGCCCTGCTCGACGATTTCGACAACAGCGCACAGGCCAAGGACGGGGAACCGGCCAGCCCCCCTTCTGGGGGCGCGGGCATGGAGCATGGCATCGACCATCTGCTTTGTCGACGCTTATTGAAGTACTTGGAGTCGATGAGTACTGGAATTCGTCTTGACAGCGCACATGCTGACGACTGCCGTTGGTGCGACGTGGCCGAAGGCTCGCGGCAAGACTGACCTGAGCGCAGCCACCTCACCCATGCGCTCACCGTCCTCCTCGCCGTCCTCCTCGCCGTCCTCCTCGCCGCTGCCGCCGCCGCCGCCGCCGCCGCCGCCGCCGCCGCCGTCGTCGTCGCCGTCGCCGTCGTCGTCGTCGTCGTCGTCGTCGTCGTCGTCGTCTTCGTCGTCGTCGTCGTCGTCGCCGTCGTCGTCGTCGTCGTCGTCGTCGTCGTCGCCCCCGTCGTCGGCGGCGGCGGCGGCGGCGGCTGGCATGTTCCCCCAGCTCGTGCTCCAGTGCGCTCGGCGCCTCGGCGGCGCCGCGCCGGTGCCTGCAGGGGCCGCGCCCGGACGCGCGCCTGCTGCGGGCGGCCGCCCGTCCGTCCCGAACGCAGACGCCGGCGTTGAGTCGAGCCTGTCCCTCTACATCAAGGGCAGAAAAAACGCCCCTACCCTGGTTTACGAGGCGCTGTGCGCTGAAACTCCTGTGGGCTGACAGGGTAAACCCTGCGTGATGTGCCGCGTCCTGGCGGCTCTAGGCTCTGGGGGTTCCCAGGGGGCTTACAGACCACGCACTTGTAACCCAGGGTAGGGTCGTTTTTTTATCCCTCAACTACAGGGGGAATCTTCAGAGATAGTCCAAAAATCGTCTGGGGACGATTTTTGTTGGGTATGTTTGGACCATTGGGGTGCATGTGTTGAGCATGTTCAATGTTTCGCCCGAAATCCGCCTGTAGGGGGACAGGCCCGACCTAACACTGGCGGCATGTCCCACGCTGTGGCGAACATGAAGAAACCGCCTCTCGCCGTATCTGAAGCTGCGACTTTGGGAAACCCAACTCCATACACAACGCCACCGACACTTGCACCTACGAGACCACCATCCAGCATGGCATGCGCGTGTGCTTTTGGACCCGCGGCCTTCTGCTGAAGGCTTGGACGTGGGCACCGCCATACTTAGTACTACGCGCGAGGATTCTGAGAGCCACAGTTGAGGCCATTGCGTGCGAAAAACTGAACAAGCCAGTGTAGGCAGCCAGTGACAGCAGCGCTGACAACGCAGTCAGCCTGCCAGCCTCCAAGCTATCTATGCCAGCTTCTCCTCCCAAGCCTTGCATGATTCAGAGCGTAGGTGCAGCAGGTGTGACAAATCAGACATCGAGGTTGGGAGCAACACATTGGTTGCAGAAACATTGTTATGTTAGATTAAATGTCGATGGCACTTATATGAGACCCCCTCGGGAAGCAAGTACATTTAGCAGGCAGAGCGGCCCATCAAACCAATGATCTAGGTCCCGCCTTGGGCTGGAGGTGGGTGGGAGCTGAATGCGGCTTCCACGCATCTCAACAGCTCTGGAAGGTAGTAACCCGTGCACGGCCCCCCGGGATGACACCAGACGACAGCATTTAATGAGTACACGCCAGTAGTTGAAAGCAGGTATTTCTGGGTTCCCAGATCCCAATCTACTTCAAGCGCCCTCCTACTTCAAGAATCGGTATGCTTTTGCCGTGTTATATCATTATCTGGGAGGGCCTGGACCCAATCTATTTGATCCGCCTTCCTGCTTCATGTGGTCCTACTTCTTCCGACCGACGTGTATTAGTCTGGGGATCTGGCCATCACTTCTCAGCCACGCGGAGCGGGCAGAGGCAGAGCAGCCCCGATTTGCGAGGGCGCGAACTGCCTACACTCCGACCACCCCGTGTCCAGGCAGCACTCTATTTCCCTCCTCCCTCCCCCCCCCCTCTCTACAGCATTGACGTCGAAGCAGACAAACGGCATAACACAATCTTTCGACGGTCCGCGCGGATTTCTCGCATCTGCGCTGGAGCGCCATGGCGGCGCCTCTGGCGCCGCCCGTGGCGCGCTCCGCGCGCCGTGGACGGGGGTCCAGCGCAGATCCAAGAAACCCGCGCGGACCGTCGAACGTTTATGCTTATGCCGTTCGCTCTTCTTTTGTGACTCCCTTCCTCCCGCCCACCCCTCTGCATCATCGATGCTCGCGTGCGTTGTGCTGCGTGGTCGCGCAAGGCCTGGTGCTGAGCATCGTGCGCACTGTGCGTGGTGCGTGTGGTGCTGCGTCAGCCTTGCGCGCTGGACCGCGTGTCCGGCTCGACTGCGCAGGTGGTGGTCCTGGAGCCTTCCCCTCGGGGACCAGTTCGCTCCCCCCTGCGCGCCCGGCCCGACCTCCCTGCGCGCCCGGCCCCCACCCCCCCCGGCGCGCCCGGCCCAACCCCCTTGCGCGCCCAGCCCAACTTCTTCCGCTGACCGGGACCCGCCTCTGCATGGTGCGTGCGCCGTGCAACATGCACAGCACCCCGCGCACCATTTCCCCGTATCCGCAAGGGAAAGAGGAAGGGGGATTCGCCTCGTGCCGCCATGGTGGACGACGTCGTTTACTGACTGGGACGGGGGGGCCGGCCGTTGTCAGGCTCCCTCGCCGACCTCCCTGCTGCCCAGGCAAGAGCTCGCTGGTCCGCCTCCTGCTCGGCGCCCCCGCGCCGCCCGCCGGCACCGGGGCCGCGGGCCGCGGGGCGCCGCGGGCCCGCGACCTGGCGGCAGGGGCAGGACGCGGGCCGTGGCCCTCCCGGGGGCGCGGAGGGGGGAAGGGAGCCAGGCGGAGGCAGCGGGGGGGGTGGAAGGGGAGGAGGGCTCGGCTCCGGGCTCGGGCTCGGGCTGCGGTGGGGCGGAGGAGGAGGAGGAGGAGGAGGAAGAGAGCAGGAGGAGGAGGAGGAGGAGGAGGAGGAGTATGAGGAGAGGGAGGAGGAGGAGGAGGGGGAGGAGGAGGGGGAGGAGGAGAGGAGGAGAGAGGAGGAGGGAGGAAGGAGGGGGAGGAGGTGGGGGAGGAGGGGAAGGACTGGGGTCCCGTCCCGGGCCCCCCCCCCTCGCCGTTCCCTACAGGGAATATAGCTCCTCGCTGCGCGAGATGCCACCCTTGAGAGACGAGCGCCCCTGCGGCCCTGCGATTTTCAGGCGGGGGCTCCGTTTTGTTGTAAAATAAGCTGTTTTCCATCTGGTCAGCTCTTCCTCCTTCCTCCTCCTCCTCCTCCTCCTCCTCCTCCTCCTTCTCCTCCTCCTCCTCCTCCTCCTCCTCCTCCTCCTCCTCCTCCTCCCCCGTTGGTGCTTTCCGAGGTCCATCGGCGCAGGAACCCCTTGGCGGCACCTCCGGGCTGCGAAGAGGTGGGGCCGTGAGGTTCAGTCGAGTGCCCAGAGGCGGCCCCACTTTGCAAACGAGCGCCTGTCCAGCCGTGCAGCTGCTGCACCTGCTTCGGCTTCTTCTCAAAAACAAATAAAAACATAAAAAAGTCAGCGCAGACTCTAACTATGTATTACAAGACTGGCATGGAGGTGACGGAAGTAGACTGGAGTAGAGCAGATTGGGGTTGATTGGATTGGCGGGGACGGGATAGAATGGACTTAGGTTGGTCTGGATTGGACTGAATTTGGGCAGGCATGGATTGGTCTGGATTGAAATCTGTTCTACCCGATTCTATTCTAGTCGACTCTACTCTACTCTATTACACCCGACTCTACTATACCAGATTCCCGACTCTACTCTATCATACCCTGTTCTGGTCTACTCTAGTACAACGTACACAACTTGACTCCACTCTACTCTTCTCTACTCGAGTGTACCCGACTCTACTCTACCATTTACCGTGTTGTGCTAGATGATGCTATTTTGTATCCCTACTCGATCCTACCCTAACGTACTCTAGCCTATTATGCCCGGCTCGATTATACTCCACACCGTTATATTATATGTTAGTACACCCGACTGTACCATCTATCACATTCGTATTATGTTCTATTCTACCCAATTCGATCCTACCTTAGGCTACCCGACTCTACTCTACCATTTGTCCGACTCGACTATGCGTTACTCTTCCCTAACATACTCCTACTCGATGTTACTCGATGATACCCCATTATGCTATACCATCTACCCCACTCTATCGTGCTCTACTCTACCCCATCCTACCCTACCCTAACCTACTCGAGTCTACTCTATTGTATGTTATTCCTACTCTACAGTATTATACGCGACTCTACGTACGCGAGTTCTCTACACTCCAACCGTACTCTAATAAGTTCGAACATACTCGACTCGATTGGACTTTAGTTTTCCCGGCTCGACCCTGCCGTTTACATTCTATGTTGTTGGATTCGGTTTTACCCTATTATATTCATCTGTAGTATGGTCTACTCTGCTCTACGATGTTCATCTACTCGTCTACCCTGGTCTACTCTGCTCATCCGACGATTGTTCGACGATTGTCTGGACGCCGTTGGAATAGCCACAAGAAGCGATTGCAATACCACAGGAAGCCTATGCAGTAGCAGAGGAAGTCATTGCAAGCAGTTTGGGCAAAATAGGGGGAGCGCCGCTGCTAGCTCGCATTGCAAAGAGTTGAGGGCAAAATGTGGGGGCATCACTGAGCCAGTTCTCCATGGCGTGAGCCAGGACTCCTGCAGGCAAGCTCATTTGGAGAGAGTGCGACGACTGCGAGGACGAACCGCCCCCCATCCACGCAAGTGCTCCACACTCTCAGACGTGTGGCAGCAGATTGAGAGGACGTCTCCGGGGAGAGCCCCACCTGGGAAAGGGGCCGCCCTCCGTTCCCGCGATTGCTGGAAGCGTTCAGCGACGCTCGCGCGCGGCGCCGAGGCGAGAGCCCCGCGTTGAGAACAGGCCGTCCTCCACCCGTGCAAGCCTGTCGGATGCTGACAGGAGGGCGTGCGCAGCGGCCAGGCGAGAGCCCCACCTTGAGAATGGCCCGCCCTCCACCAGTTACGACGTGATTCAGGTGGAGTGGTGCAGCAGACTCTTGTCCTGGCTCCGTCAAAGCGAATATCACGCTACCGACGCTTGGCGCTGGGAGGACGGCAAATGGGAAGGTTGTTTCGTGGTGGAGGCTTGGCGTCAGTGACTTACACGGTGAAGGTGAAAGGCATGTCAGGCACACAGTTGAAGCAGGTGAGAAGCATCGCTGGACATGCCTTGTTTGGGACGGCTCGTGGAAGGTGCAGGACCATGGAGTTTCAGCTTTCGCATTGTCCTAGAGCGGATCCCACGTTTGCGGCGGATGAGTACCCACTTGTGTATTGGATCAGGGCTTTACACGGACACTGGGTCAAGGAACGGGCCATGGCTTTGGCATTCATGCAGGCGCAGAATAACTGTGGTACTTGGCGGAGTGTACGTGGGCCAGCAGGTGCAGTGGTCATGACTCTCAAGAGGCTCGGCTGGAAAGCGACGTCGTGGGATTGCTGGTACACAGAACGTGGTGCGAAGTTGGACTTGCACGACATGGGCCCTGCAACCCTCAAGAAAGTGGTCAATCAAGCTACACGCCGACTTTTATGTGAAGTCCCAAACTCTAGGGATATGGAAGGGCTCACGGGACTGCCCCTGTTGGAGCCCGCCAAGCATTTCATCAGAAAGCTCAGGACGCAGGAGGACTACAAAGGGGCTGGGCTCATACGTACATGGCTGGCTGGAGGTTTCTACTGCCAGGAGAGACTACATCAGGTGCGTGCTGTGCACAGCCCATTGTGTGCCATGTGTGGGGTGGAAGCTGGCACTGATACGCATCGTATCTTCAGATGTGATTGGCATGCGCTCGAGCGTTTCAGCTGGACGGAAGAAGAACGGACCCTGCTGCAGTGGGGCAAACAGGAGCATGGGCAACGGCATCCGTACACGATGATGACTGCCAAGGGGCTCATGCCAGATCCTACCTACGATGCGCCGTTGCCGACAACGGAGCACATTATCAATTGGCACAAGTGTACGGTGAGTGGTCTAATCAGCGGTGTGGTTTGCACGGATGGAAGTTGTATCTTTCCACATTGTGAAGTTCGTGCACGAGCAGGTCGGTCTTTCGTTATGATTGACGACGCTGGAGCGACGGTGGCGGCTGCGTCAGGACCCGTGCCTTACCCATGGCAGACGTCTGGCGCTGGAGAGATCATGGCAGCAACCAGAGCGCTGCAACATAAGTCGGCAGGACACATCACGATTGTGACGGACTACGAAGATCTCATGACAGGGTGGACGGATGTTTTTCCATATGGCTGCCATACTGGACATCAATACATGGAATTGTGGAAGTTTTTTCTGGCGCGTTGTACAAGACATCGGCACGTCGGAAATTGAATGTGTTTGGATCCCTTCGCATACGTCGAGAACCAGGGCGATTGATCAAGGTATCATCATGCCGTACTGGAATGGGAACAAAAGTGCAGATTACTTTGCACGCATGGGAGCCGACTGCCATCCGCGCGAGAAGTGCAATGAGAAGCTGCGGAGGATGCGTGAGCAGGCAGTCCCATTTACCCTACGGGCTGTTTTGCGCGCTCTGCGCCTGTGTCAGAAAGGAGGATGGAGAGATGCGCAGCAGGTGAATGAGGGCAGGCCCGCACGCGATGTTCATGTGGTCATCTCCGAAGATGGAGGACACGTAACTCACAGGTTTAAGGGACGATGGGTGTGCGGGAGCTGCGGAGATAGTCGCGCTCGGCGTTGTGACCTTGCGAGTTGTCCGTGTTTGGGGGACCCGAAAGGGGTCCGTGAAGCGCACCCGTCCCATAAGCTTTGGCACACTGGACCAATGGTTTGGTGTTTTGAGTGTGCCTCGAGATGTGTTTCTAGAGAGTTCTTGGTCCCCACACCCTATTTGGGTAGGCCGCCCCTGGGCTCTCCGAGGCACTTCAAGCGTAGGTACCGCATCCAGGGGAAGGGGCCGTCAGGAAAGAAGGTCGGTAATGGTTTCACTAAGCCTGTTCCGTTTTTCGTTCGAGTCGATCGTTGAGCGTTCGACGGTTTATGTGTATATTTCCCTTCAGGCTTGGTGCATCGTTCTCGGCACACCTCGTCGTCATCCAGAGTCTCCAGAGCCTCCTCCTCCTCCTCCTCCTCCTCCTCCGCCTCCGCCTCCGCCTCCGCCTCCGCCTCCGCCTCCTCCTCCTCCTCCTCCTCCTCCTCCGCCTCCGTCTCCTCCTCCTCCTCCTCCTCCTCCTCCTCCTCCTCCTCCTCCTCCTCCTCCGCCTCCGCCCTCCGCCTCCGCCTCCGCCTCCACCTCCGCCTCCGCCCCCTCCTCCTCCTCCTCCTCCTCCTCCTCCTCCTCCTCCTCCTCCGCCTCCTCCTCCTCCGCACGTGCGGCGCCAAAGCCGAGGCCCGATGCTGAAAACTGCCCGCCCTTCGCCCGCGCACCAGCTGCACAAGCTCAAGCTTCCAAAAAAAAACAACGGAAACGCTGAGGAAGCCTCGGGAGAAACGCCCGACCCGCCCGAAAGACACGGGTGGTGGTGCGACAGGGGTGCGCGTTGTTGATCACCAGCGGCGAGCGAGGGGGGGGGGGGGGAAGGGGAGAAGGAGAAGGCTTCCTCAGCAGGCGGCGGGGTTTCTCCGAAGGCATCGGGCCGTCGGGGAGGTTTTCTGCGTCTTCGGGCAAGAAGGCGCAGGAAACTTCTCACAAGGCCGTAGGACTTCCGAGCCTTCTGAGAAGGCCCGCCCCTTCTAACCTCCCCCCCCCCGGCCTCGCCGCCGATGTAAAAAAGAGCGTGTTCTACCGCTGCTGGCGGAAAACCGGGGGCGGTCACTACCGGTTCGAAGCCCCTCCCCCCCCCCCTTCCGGAAAACCGGGGGGGATCACTACCGGTTCGAACCCCTCCCCCCCCCCAGTTCATCACATCATGAAAAGGGGGGAGGGGTCACTACCGGTTCGAACCCCCTCCCCCCCCTCGAACTCGAAAACGGGGGGGGTCATTACCGGTTCGAACCCCCCCCCCCCCTCGAAAACCGAGGGGGGGGGCGGACAGTGGTGGGGGCGGTGGTGGTGGGGACAGTGGTGAGGGGACAGCGGGACAGTGGTGGGGACAGTGGGACAGTGGTGGGGACGGTAGTGGCGGGGGCAATGGTGCGGACAATGGTGGGAACAGTGGGGACAGTGGGACAGTGATGGGGACGGTGGTGGTGGGGACAGTGGTGTGGGGACAGTGGGGATGTGGTGGAAACAGTAGGACAGTGGAGGGTACAGTGGTGGTGGGGACAGTGGTGAATGCGGTGGCGAGGACGGCGGTGGGATAACGGGACAGATGCACAGTGGGGACAGTGGCGGGGACAGTGGGGACAGTGGTGGGAACAGTGGGACAGCTCAGTGGGACAGCGGAGGAGTCAGTGGGACAGTGGGGACAGTGGGGATAGTCGGGCAGTGGCTGAGGCCGTGGAGAAAGTTGGGAGAGTGGAACCGTGGTGGGAACAGTGGTGGGGACAGTGGGGACAGTGCGACAGTGGTGGTGGCACTGGTGGGGACAGTAGGGGCGGTGGTGGAACCAGCGGGGACAATGGTGGTGAGGACAGTGGTGCTGGGAACAACAGTGGGGGATGTGGTGAGGACGGTGGTAGGGACCAGGAGTCGTTTGCTGGCGGTGAGAGGGGGGGTGGGGAGGGGTTCGAACCGGTAGTGACCACTCCTCTGGTTTTCGAGGGGGGGGGGGGTCTCGAACCGGTGGTGATCCCCCCCGGCTTTCGAGGGGGAGGGGAAGGGGGGGGGTAGGGGTTAGGGGAGGGGGGGGGGTGCCGGGGAAAAAGGGGGGGACCCCAGGGTTCCGGAGGAAAAGGGAGGCAATTTTCCACAGTAAAGCGGCGGTGGATCACGCTTTCTCCGATATAAGGCGAAGGCATGGAGAGTGCAAAAAGGGTAGGAGGAAGAGGATAAGGGGGGGGGCAGAGAATGGAAGGAAGGAGCAGGGGGGGGCGGGACGCAGAGGAGAAGGAGGAGGAGGGGGAGGTGGAGGGAGGTGGAGGAGGAGAGGGAGGAGAAGGGAGAAGGAGAGGGACGCGAGGAGCCAGATGATGATGAGGAGGGGGGGGGATCAGCAGCAGAGGGGGATGTTGATTAAATAGAAGGAGAAGCGCGGAGGAGAGGAGGAGGAGGAGGATGGAGGGAGGAGGAGGAGGAGGAGGAGAGGGGAGTAGACCCCGCGTGGCGGCGAGCGAGCGCACGGCGGGACCGCGCCCACGCCCGGGACGGAAGGAGACCTCCCAAGCAGGACGAGCGGGCAGGAGCAAAGGGGGAGGAGAGCAGAGGAGGAGCCGCTGCTGTTAGGGCGGCGCGCCTGGCAGGGGAGGGGGGGGGGGTGGGGGGGGGGGGGGGGCAATAGGGGCGGAATGGAGGAGCAGGAGGAGGAGCCGCGCTGTTTAGTCGGCGGCGCGCCTTGGGGGGGGGGGGGAATGGGGCGGAGGAGCAGGAGGAGGAGCCGCGCTGTTTAAGTCGGCGGCGCGCCTTGGGGGGGGAGGAATGAGAGGGAGGAGGCCTTATCAGAAGGCGGCGGAGCGTCTCAGACGCCCTCGGGCCTCGTGGGAAGTTCCCCCTGTCTTTCGGGGAAGGCTCAGAAAACTGCTGGGGGGAGGCCCGCCGCCCCTCCGAGCCTTCCGAGAAGGCCCGCCCCTTCTCGCCTCCCCCCCCCCGGGCCCCGCCGCCGAGCGGAAAGCCCGCGCGCCCTCCTCCCCTGGGTGGGGGCCTGGCACGGCTGTCCTGCGCTCCAGCCGCTGCCGCCGCCGCCGCCCGCCCCAGCTCCGCCACCTCGGGCGCGAGGCCGCGGGGCCCGACGGCGTCGCCGAGCTGCCGCAGGCCCGCGGCGCGGCCGGCGGAGTGGTGCAGCAGGCCGCAAATCGCCTCCTGCCGCGTCTGCCCAGCGGTCGCCCTGCTGTACGGGCGCGTGGAGCAGGGCGACGGGCCGTGCTTCCACACTCGCGACAGGATCGGCGCGCGCCGTCGCCAAAGCAGGCGGCATTGGCCTCGTGCTGCAGTGGTGATTCCCCCGATCCGCAGATCTGGCGCCCACGTGCCAGATGTAAGTCGGGCCTGTCCCTCTGCAGGAGCAACATTCAAAAATAGCAACAAAATAGTCTGGGGACGATGTTTTGCATTTGTGGGCATAGTTTGAGTGCTTGTTGACTATTTTTCATTTGTCGTTCAAAATCGGCCTGGAGGGGGATATGCCCGACCTAACCGTAGTCCATGTTGGCGAGCGTCCTGCTCCAGCTGGCCTTCACCGTGGGCCCGACGCCGTGGAAGAAGTCCTCGCCGCCCCTCGCCTGCTACAGCGGGCCCACTCGATGGGGACCACGCCGCAGACGACTCCGAGGAGCCCGCCAGGCGCGCCCACCACGACGATCGACCAGCCAACCCTCCGCAGCGCTTTCCCATCGGCGTGCAGAGCGGACCTTGGCCTTGGCTTCCACGGCTCGCACGCAGCTCGCATGCAAGATCTCCCACGCCGATCTTCATGGTGTGAGCGGGTTCCTCCCTCTTCCCTCCTCGCTCTCGTTTCTTGTCCGTCTTCGTGCCTCAATTCGCTCCCAGTGCACCCCATCGCTTGCTGACCGGGTGTTTGATTGCCCTGGACCGTTCGGTGCTCGCGGAGTGAAAAATGTCGCGGACCCGTCCACGAAGATGGCGCCGTGAAGACAGAATTGGGCGACACGTTGATCCATTTCAATTCGTCGGAGTCGACCCGCTCGTTCTGCATCAGCCACGACTCTGCGGCTTCAGAGCCCACGGGCGAACCGCTCGCCCAGCTCCAGGACATCCTGCGCCGCCGTGGGCACGTGCGGTGTAGCGCCAATCGAAGCCCAGCGTGGCGTCGCCACCGAGGTGCTCGTGTCACCGAGTGCCCCGCGCGGCAACGCACAGCCTGCAGCGATCCGACTGCGCCAGGCCCCTGTCGAAGCGGCAGGCCCGCGCCCACGGCGAACCGCCCGCACGGCCGCGCCGCGCGAGCTCGTGGCCCCGCCCCCAGAGACGTCCGAGGCGCCCTTCGGCGCGCCTCCGGGTGGGCTGGGCTGCCCCAGCCAGGCCGAGGCCCCAGGCTTAAGTCGGGCTTGTCCCTCTACAGGAGGAATATTCAAAAATAGTCTGGGGACGATTTTTGTTACTATTTCTCTGCACTTGAGGAATATTTTAGGGGTGTTTTCAATTTTCGCCCAAGATCCCCCTGCGGGGGGGCGAGCCCGACTTAACCCCAGGCTGAGGAGGGCCCCGGCATCAGCAGCCCACCTGGCGACCCTCTCGATCGCTGCACGCGCCACCCAATGGGCGATCCACTGCAGATGGAGCACCCCGCCCAGCACGTGCGCGGCCGGCACGGAGACCCGCGCACCACGTCGCCCGCCCCAGGCTGTGCGCCCTGCCGCGAGCGCCCCGCGAGAGGTGCGGCACTGTAGGAGGAGCGTGATGGCCCATCTCTGTCGCATACTGTGCAGTGGCCTGGCATCGCTCGGGCGTGTGCATGTTTCCTCGGCGAGGACCATCGAGGAGCATCCTTGATCATTTGGCCAAAGATCCGCGCACGAAACCGAAAAAAACACGGGGAATGGACGTCCGAGCGATGGCCAGTGGCCCATCTGTCGCATATTGTGCAGTGGCGGGGTGTGGGGGTCGGAGCCACCGAGAAACTACGGTCGGGAACGTTCGGATAGCGCGTCGCGCCGCCGCCTCTGGCGCACCACGCCTCGGCGCGGCATGGTATCCACGTCGCGGTCCCGAGGCGTCCACGTCTCGAGCGTCTCCCGGCTTCCCATCCCGCGAAGCGGAGCGGCACGCCATGCAGTAGCAGGGCATGTGTCGCTGGGGCCGCCTTGGCGACACGCCTTCCCAGAGTGTCCGACCGGGAAACTAGATTCTTTTTAGGGACCCAAGAAGAGGGAATTTGGAGAGAGGATTTATGGCAACGTCGTTGATGCATCTTTGGTTTGCAGTCGTCCTCCTCCTCCTCTTCCTCCTCCTCATCCTCCTCCTCCGCCATCTCCTCATCACCCTCCCTCCTCCTTGCCCTCCGTTCTCCTCATCCTCCCCTGCGCGGGCCAGGACACTCCAGCCACGACGGCGGGCCGGAGCCCACTGTCGGTGCTGATTTCTGCACGCGGGCCGTCTTCCTGGACGGCTCGGCAAGGCCCGTGCGGTTGCGTCTCTTCGCCCCCCCCCCCGTCCCCCTCGCTCTCTCTCTCTCTCTCTCTTTCTCGCGTCGCCCCTCCTCCTCGCTTCTCCCCGCTTCGCCTGCAGCAAGACCCGACGAGGATCGGTGAGATTTATGATGCCAGCACCTCTGGGCAGCACCGTGGAGCCACTCTGCGGCGGCCGCGGCCGCCCGGCGGCGCAGCGCGCAGCGCGCAGCGCGCAGCGCGCAGGCCTCCCGGGGAGGCTTCGCGCGTCGTTCTTTCTTGGGCCGCCGAAGACATCGGCAAGCACTCACGCCACAGTCATCTGCCGATGCTCCCCCCACCGATCGGGCGAAGGGAGCTATGCGATGGGCCTGGCCTGTTTCCCACCACCACCATAGGTTTGAGGGCTCCTCCTCCTCCTCCTCCTTCTCCTCTCCTCCTCCTCCTCCTCCTCCTCCTCCTCCTCCCCCTCCTCCTCCTCCTCCTCCTCCTCCTCCTCCTCCTCCTCCTCCTCCTCCTCGCCTCCTCCTCCTCCTTCCCCCCTCGTCCTCCTCCTCCTTCCCCCCTCCAATTTGGGGCGGTGGCGGTGGAAAACAGGCCAATCACGATGCACATGCACCGACCTTGGCCAGGCCCATCCTGGGCCCAGGATCGGCGCACGCGTCTCCCTGCCCACGGCAGGAGGGCGTGTGCACCGACCCTGGGCTCGGGATGGCCCTGGCCAGAATCGGTGCAGGTGCCTAGTTCTGCCTCCTCTGCGCGATGAAAGTTGCAAGGGCTCCCACGAGGGCGCGAAGTTATTCGCGCTTCGCGCTTCGCGGTCCTCGTTCCTTCTCCCCTTCCTCCTCGTCCTCCTTTTCTCCCTTTGGGGGGGCGGCGCGAGAGCGCGAAGTTATTCGCGCCTCGCGCTTCGCGGAGCGCGAAGCGCGAAGTTGGGAGCCCTAGAAGTTGCCGGTGGGCTGAATGAGTTGCACCTCGACCGCAGCCCATCCCGCGCGTGCCAACCTTGGATTGGGGGGGGGGAGGGCTCGGACGCCCGAAATGGGCACGTGGCACGTACGGAAAACATGCAACGCCCAACCACAAATGTTGTCCAAAACCGATAGCGGCCGCTGTTGGGCAGGTGGCCTCCTGTCTTCAAAGACTTACGTCCGCGGCGGCGCGAACAGCGAATCCGGTTCAAAATGAACAGGAACTGCTGCTGGGCATCGTACCCATTTCGATCGTCCTGAGAGGGGGAGTGTCCACGAATTGTTTCCCTGTACCGCTCGTTCGTTCGTTCGTTCGTTCGCTTCGCCTCCTCGCTCCCGCTCCCCGCTCCTGCTCCTCCGCCCTCTCTGCCCTCCTGCTCCTCCTCCTGCTGCGGCTGCTGCGCACACCCCTAGAAGCTCGAAGCCGCATCACTGGTGCGTGCTCGAAGTGAAAAAGTTCGGGGATCAAGAGATGGGGGGTCAATGCAAACGGGGGTCAGTCAGCCAGAGCGCCGCATTTTGCAGGACCCTGCAGGATATTGCAGCATCTTGCAGGATCTTGCAGAGCCCGACTGACACAGGTTTGGGTTGACCTGGGTCAGTAGATCCCCGAAAAATGAGCAAGGGATCCCGATACGAGGCGAAACGATCACAGTCTTGGTCCTGACGAAATCTATCAGTAAAGCGAGTAAGGTCAAGCACATCTCCTCTAGTCGTGTTGCGTGGCATGACGGAGCGACTTGACAGCACACCGCATCGGCTCCAGGTTTGCACAATTGGTGATCGTACGGGTTGCTCTGCGCTTTCCTGAAAGCGCCGGACCTCTCCGTCCAATCCACGATGACTGCACATGTTTCGGGAGGTGTGAGCCTGCAGACGGGCATCAACAAGAGGGAGATCAGCTAGCAAAAATGTAGCCGGCTTTACTGATCGAGCTACGAATTTCATGTGTAACAAATATGAAGATCGATTTCAAGATGAGCATGGTTGCGAGCATATTTGGCACAGTTGTGACCATCGGAAAGAATCCAGCAGCTGGGCAGGTCCCCCGCGCTCTCGCGCTCGGGCATCGTGGGTGTCCATGCAAAAATCATGTACGAGTCCTGGCACACACCATGCCGAAAAAATATTCATACGCATCATGGTTTTAGACAAGTTGAGCTGCCTCAATTCGGAATCCTTCCAAGATGGCAGGCCCCACACCAGATTCGAGAGTGGATCCAACCGACAAGAGACTGTGGTGTTTGCACGAGTTTCGGTTGCTGGGTGTCTCCCTATACTCTTAATCCACATCAAGAGAAATGGCCAATGACAAAAAAAAGGCGGGAGTGCGGGGCCTTGAATGCAGCGGCTCTTTGTGTTTGCGTATATGGCGCCTTGTGCGTTTTCCTTACCTATACGACCACCCTTCGGGTGATAAGGAGGTTCGGGGGGGGAGGACCAACGTCTCACTCGATCGGTCTCACTATCGATCTCACTATCGGTCCTGCTCGATCGATCTCACTCGAGCGATATCACAATCGATCTCACTCGATCTATTTCATTCGATCGATCTCACAATCGATCTGACTATCGATCTCACAATCGATCTCACTATCGATCTCACAATCGATCTCACAATCGATCTCACTATCGATCTCACTACCGATATCACAATCGGTATCACAATCAACGTCGTCATCATCATCATCATCAACATCAACATCATCGTCATCAACGTCATCATCCTCATCAGCAGCAGCATCATCGGGACACCATCATCATCACCTCATCACCATCATCATCAACATCATCACCATCATCATTGGGACACCATCATCGTCACCATCATCATCATCACCAACATTATCATCGGGACACCATCATCATCATCATCATCATCATCATCATCGGAACACCACCATCATCATCATCATCATCATCATCGGGACACCATCATCATCACCATCATCATCATCATCAGCATCATCAGTATCAGCATCAGCATCATCAACATCATCATCAGCGGAACACCACCATCATCGTCACCATCATCATCATCACCATCATCATCATCATCAACATCATCGGGACACCATCATCATCATCAACAGCATCATCATCACCATCATTGGGCCATCATCATGAAAATCACCATCATCACCTCATCATCATCCTCATCATCAAGATCATCATCATCGGGACACCATCCTCGTCATCATCATTATCATCATCGGAACACCATCATCATCACCATCATCAACAGCATCATCATCAACCTCATCATCATCATAATCATTATCGGGGCACCATCATCATCATCATCATCAAATCATCCAAATCATCTGATCATAATCAACATCATCAGGATCATCAACATCATCATCATCATCATCCTCATCATCATCATCATCATCATCATCATCATCATCATTGGGGCACCATCATCATCATCAGCAACATCATCATCATCATCATCATCGGGACACCATCATCATCACCACCACCATCATCATCATCGTCAACATCAGCAGCATCATCATCATCATCAACATCATCATCATCAACATCATCATCGGGGCACCATCATCATCACCACCATCACCATCATCATCAACATCGTCAACATCATCATCATCATCATCATCATCATCATCATCATCATCATCGGGACACCAGCATCATCATCACCACCAACATCATCATCGTCAACATCAGCAACATCATCATCATCAACATCATCATCATCATCATCATCATCATCATCATCATCATCATCATCGGGACACCGACGGGACACCGGCGGGACACCGGCGGGACACCGCGGGGCGCGGGTTGCCAGAACGGAGACTTTTGGTCCGGCCGCGCCTCAGCTACAGGAGACTTATTTTTCGCCCGCCCATGCAGCTTCGCCTCGCCCGCACGCACGGCACGCACGAACACGAGACCGAAACCGATTTCCTGGCAGGGGGGCTCTCCGTTCCGCTTCGATCTCACCCCCTCACCTCCGATATTTTTTTTCGGGGAAAGGTCATTCTCATAACGAGCAGCAGCATTGTGTAAGAGTACCTGCAGACAGTGCGAGCTGGGCTCGCACCTGTTTGGTAGCGGTTGGTTGCTGGTTGGGAGCGTCGTCGAGCGTAGCCGTTTGAGGCAAATTCAGCACGCAACGATTGTGTACCGAATCGAGAGACTAAGCTTGGCGTTCGCCAAGGGCCAAGCCGTCTAGAACACACCAGTCCATCTGGTGTTGGCAAGCTAGACTTGACATCGTGGAATCAGGTGGCAAATTAGCGCAAGCGGTAAACGACTTGCAGAGGTAAACACCATGCTCATTCATGGGATTGAGAACACACCCTAGAGATGGAACTGCGCGGCAAGCTGGACCAGCTCGTGATCGATCGCCCTTGGACAGCCCCACCTTCCACTATTTTCAGAGCAGATTAATGCTCGCAGTGCGACATACGCTGCTGCCCAAACCGAAAGGTGGTCCCCAGATTCTCACCAGAGCTAGTTGTGGCACCAACCACGACCCACAAGACCACCCAACAGGCAAAGGATATCCAAGGTGATGTTGGCCGCAAGGGGGCTTTCAACCTCAACGGGGGGGGGGGGCTCCGAGGCCTTTGAGACCTCACGCAAAATCCAAAGTAGAACAGGATTACCCGAACGAGCAATGTTAGGAAATGATCCTGCAGGACCGCTTGTTCTCGTCTGCATCGCAGGGGTCGAACGAACCGTTACTGCACATGAATTCTCATGAGTCTCCGCAGGAAGGGCGGGAGACTTCGGAAGGAGCATGGTATGTTGAGCGGCAGGACGCATGGGACCGAAAAAGCCTGGGAGGTCGAGAAAGAGGAAGTCACGATATGCGCAGTTCCAGAAAAGGCCTCGCCTTCGAGGGATGGAGAGGTAGCGTTTTCATGCATCGGCGGAGGGCGGAGGAAGTAAAACGAGGCCGCCTTCGCCGGCGGAAGCCGGCGGAAGCAAGAAATGGGCCGTCAAGGAGATGGTAAGGTGTTTCTTTGATTTGTGTATTGGATGTTTGGTTCTTCGGTCCTGGTTCCTTAGTTCT